TCTTAGGAGCAGAGAGGATAGGTGATGTTTCCTGCAGGGCTCCATTCTCTGTGATTGTCCTACTGGACCTTATACCAGTAACCTCTTCGGGCTTCAGACTCTTCTGAAAAAATGATGTCTTAGATTGTTTCCAGCTCTAAAAATCTGAGTCTGCTCAGTCTACCATAAATTTTACCATGGAACACTTACCTACAGAGACAAGATAATTTTATTGGAATAGCATACATGAGGGGTGCTGACAGGTTGTCATATCTGTACATCCACCTTTGTTCTTTGGTCGGTCCTTTGCCCCTCTTTCTCATACCAGTATTGTAGCCTGTGGGTCTGTGTTGGGTTCCCTCACGGTATCCATGCTGGCCTTTTATTCCCTTCATTAAGTGGAACTAGTTAGGAGATAGGGTGCAGCTAGATTATCATAGAAAAAAGCAAAAGTTCTATTTCCTAGAGAAACCACTTGGCTGATGTGCCAGGTGATGTTGTCAGAGCCCAGGCATTCACCAGGCTGCACATATGGGAGGGTTTTGGGCCTTAGCATCTCCTTAGGCAACTTTCAGAAAAAAGATTATGAGAAGATAACCCTAAAAGCACAGTTGGCAAAAGGCAGATGCAAAGGTGTGTATGTGAGGAGGGAGCATAATCCACAGTTCTTCTTCTCTCCTAGTTTTCCGGGCTCTACATCCTGTCCTTCACTATCATCATGCTGGGGTTTATTCTGTACTGCTCCACCCCCACGCGCACAGTGGAGCCGGCTGAGAGCAGTGTGCCACCAGTTACCACCATTGGAATCGACAATCTGGGACTGAAGCTTGAGGAGAACCTCCAGGAGACCCAGTCTGCTGTCTTGTAGCTGGAGAATGAGGCGCACACGCATACCTGAGGCTTCTTGGGAAATGAAGAGCAGTCACCAGGATAAAGTAGAGCCTGCTGACTGCTGAGGGGACACTTGGAAAATTATCAGACTCAGCACGATCACTCCAAAGCATTGGATTTGGATCCAGTGGTTAGATTTAACAAAGAAATACAAAATAATGCATCAGAAGTAGAAATAGCAAAATAAAGCAGAGGCCAAGGCTAGGACTGCATTTCTGTGTGTTTGAGGACCAGTACCTATTAGTGTCAGAGAGACCAGGTGTGGGCCCTACCCTGAGGTCTTGGAGGCACAGGTGGGAAAGCAGGATGGGGCAGATACCCAGGTGTGAGCCAGCTTCAGAACAGGGCCTGAAAGCGGGCTGTTTAGGCCATGCTGGGTAGTCAGGAGTAGGGACTGTCTGTGATGGTTTTAGAATAGGTTTCCTCAGTTGGTGACTTCTGGGTTTTGTCATTCTGAGGCAGTCATTTTCCAAAAGCCACAGATGAGGTCTGGTGACCTTGTATGGCAGGAAAATGGGTAGGGCAGCATGGGTGAAATCCTGAGATGCAGGTGCGAGTACCATAGAAGCATTAAAGTGGGGTACAATAAACCTAGGAACCCTTTCTCAATGGTTAAAAGAGGATACTACACTGCTTCTTATCCAGTATTTATGTGCCATGAGATTTTTATACTTCAGTACAAAGTGTTACTAGGTAGATAGCATCATTATGATAGCACCTACCAGTATGCCACTATACAAATACTCTGTATGTAAACTTTTTTTTTTTTTTTTGGTAAAAATATAATAAAAAAATTCAGGGTAAGTATTCATGTTATTAAAAGATTTTGATTTCATGAAAATATTCCCGCTGTGGTTTCTTTGATTAACCAGTTCCCCTAGTAGATTTCAAATGACTTAATATATTCGAGATTTCTCCACATCCAACTTTTCAGAATCATGTCTTCTGTAAGATAAAACAAACCTGTCTATTTGGGGCTATGCCAGGATGGAGGAGAATTCAGAGTGAGCTCACAGATATAAACATATAAACAGAATAAACATATTAAAATTCTGAATTACCTTAATGTTTTTCTTTTTTTAAATTATTTTTTAGAATGAAATAACCTTCCATTCTCTGCAGCCAGTTAAAACTGATGCTTGTTTTTCATTTCCTACCCAATAACAACTGTCAATGAGTGAAAAAACGTTGCCTTAAAATGTTTGGCATTTGGGGGGAAGACTTTAAGTTTGATTAATAACCGATTATTTCTTAAAACACCTTGCTTAAGAATAAACTTGTATATATAGGGATAGTGATGAAGTAGGGCGTCTCAGGAGATAACATCCCAAATGTCTGTCAAGGCTGAGCTCAAATGTCATCTTTCTCAGGCCAGCCTGCTGGGTCCCCCTCCTTTAGGCACCCGGGGCGCTTATTCATATCTTCCTTGTAGCACTTACTGAAGTGCTTGTCATTTACCAGCTCCTCCTCACCACAGGTTGATCTCTTCCAGGTCAACAGCAGCCTTTTTTTTTTATCTTTCTAGTCTTTCGTTTATCCCGTTTGTTTGGTTTTTATTAAATGAACCCTGGTTCCAGTTCAGAATTAAAGGGGAGGTTGACCTAAAGTAAAGCCTTGTATGCAGATATGTGTATGTAGTAAATTATCCTACCCTGCTCTACTCTTTGCACCCACCCCACTTAATCCTAATGTTTCCCCCTGCCTGCTTTCTCTGGGGAGGGGCAAAGGCTTTCCCATCTGGGCATCCCAAGTTAAAACTTAGAATTTAGTGTTCCAGAGAAGCAGTACTGCAAATGACACTTGGCAATTAAATAATAGTACTGCAAGGCTGTTTGTCCTGGTTTAAATAAGTTGTGAAGACTAGGAGTTTAACTAGCCTGGGCAATGTGTTTTTAAACATCTGTCTTATACGCAATGTTTTGAAACACAATACATTCTTAAGTCGAGAACCTCCTGTAAATTATTGTTCAGTCCATTAAAATAATATCGATTTTTCAATATTTTTTGTAGTTATTCATGCCATTAAAAAACAACCCTGCCGAATAGTATAATAGTTGCTAGATTGTCCCCTACTGTTGTAGAGAGGTAATAAATTGTGCAGTTGGACTGTGGTGACACTAAAAAAATTGCTGGTGCCATTTTCACTACTTGTATTTTGAAACTAGGTTCACTTTTGTGAACAGGTAGCTAATGTTTCTCACCTTTCTGATAATCAGCATCTCACAGAAAATTGGTTATGTATCATCAGTGGTGTTTCCAGCAGGTGGCGCTTTAACAATTAGATCTGTGACAAAGAATAAACTCATAGGGCCTCCTTAATGTCCTCTTAAGGTGCTTTGTTTTAAAAGAGGGTTTATAACGACTGTTCTCAGCAGGGATTGCCTTTGGTTTACAGTTGAAAAATGGAGGTTTCAGAAAAGTGGAAACATCCTTTGTGGGTCGTACAGCTTTGGCAGATAAGAAGAAAACAGAATCCAGGATTCCTTTCAGTATAGCTAGCAGCCTACGGTTTGTCCTTGCTTTTCGAAACAATAAATTCTGAGGGGTCCCACGATTCTTGTGGAACTGCTGAGCCAGCGAATGTGGCTGCATCTCTAGTGAGAGGAGTTGGGAAGATTTTTGTGTAAAACCCAGCTTGATTGTGCAGTTTTCTCTGCAGCTCTGGAGCCTGCTCTTTTAAGAAGCTGTCTACATTTGTCTCTGTGAGGTCTTATGTATGCTTAGTCATGATTCCCTTTTCTATCATTATTATGGTGATGTGCCATTTTCATCTACATTTAATCACTTAGTATCTGGACATAGCCTCAGCCCTCAAAAGATATCAATAAATCAGGGAAATTCAGCAGATAGCCACTTAGCTGATTAAAAGGCGAGAGATTTATGAGGAAATTAGATAAAGCTGAACATGTGATTCTCCAACAGTCTTACAAAGGGTGTTTTGAGAAGTCTGGCCATATATAAGTGGTATATCAAGGGGAGAAAAGCCTCTTCAAGAACAAAATTTTACCTGTAGAATTTAACGTCCCAAAGTTTTTTCTCCCAATGCTTTCATCATGCATTGTATTGCTTGGTTTAAATATTACCCTCTTTTAGCAATCTTAATTTAAAGTGTAGATCCTTTTGGAGAAGGAAATGTAGATTGAAAGGAGGAGAGAGTGATACCAATGAAAAAAATGAACCATCTGAACAATTTTTGGCTCCAATTGACCATGCAGATGATGCCATATAATCATCACTCAATCAAATATTAGTATTTAGGGCCTTCCCCAATGGGGAAGCCAGATTTTATGCACAAAGTGTGAGGTATAATAGGACTTGCAGTACTAGTAGCTAGAGTTTCCACGCAGTCACCTTCCCTCTAGACATTTCTCTCTACCTGATGACTGTGTTTTCCTCATTTTTGCCTGAGTATTTCACATTCTTTCAGATTCCTATTCTGATTTTGTTCTTGTGATCCCATGTGAGACCTTATCCACCTTGGTTGTCATGAAAAGCCTGCTAGTTCAGTGCATGCACATTTACATGGTGGGGGACACACATAGACACACATATTACCATCATCACCATCGCCTCCCCCCTGTTCCCCTGACATCTTATTTCTCCAGAAATTGCTGTTGTTGATAAGACTGATTGCAGCAGCTTCAGGGAGTCTGCTTCCATCCCTGACACACATCTAGAATCTTCCTGTAGTACTTTATTTCCCTAGTCCATCTGTTGGATTGAGTGTATGTGGTACCTTTAGTTGGAGACAATTGGTATGCAATATATATTTGATCTCTACTGTCAGTTTGGAGGACTAGGCTGAAGGAGGAGTGCCAAGGCTTCATCCCTGGTCTGCTAATTCAAGCGTGAGACATGCCAGAGCAGGGAGATTTGGCTCAGTTGAGAACCAAATTTGGCTGGTCAGCACGGTGTACTATCCTGAGAACTCTTTGGTCACAATGTAGAAATATGGTTCAAGCCCACATCTCATTGTGGGGAGCAGGGCTGGAGGACTGTAGGCCAGGCCAGGCCAGGAGACACTGTCTGGGAGAGCTATTTGTAGAGAACAAGACACTCTCTAATTGCCTGGAGTTCAATGACTGCGGGCTCATCTCTTAGGAAGAAGGCTAGCTAGGTTATGGGGAGACATTCAAATGAATCTCCCAGACGGGGCTGCATAGGGCAGGGAAAAGAAATGGGAAGATGAGAGTCTTAGGCCCCTGGTACTAGGACAAGCTCAAGAAAGGTAACTGGGGATACCAAAGACAGAATTCCATTTGGCCCCCAGCTACAATAGGCTTGTGCCCTTAGAATGTTCTTTAACCTTCTAAAATGGACTTTACTCCAACTCATTCTCACCATCGCCTTAAACTCAGTAAATTGAACTGAAACGCATCGTGGTTTCTGTCCCCTTCATTTCCTCCATCATCTGCTCTCACCTTTGAGTTTCCACTTCTGGTTTTCATATTTTATTAACGGCAATGTTAGAGTGCTACTCACATTCAAACCTTTGAAGTTATACTGGATATATTTCCCACCCTTCAAAATCAAAATGGCATGAATGTCCATTCTTTGGTGACATTTCTCATGTCTGGCTCTCTGGTTCTCTTTTTCTTTGTTCTCTCATCAGCTCAAAGCCTTATTACTTTTGCTGGGACCAATCCTACAGCTGTCTAACCATCTTGAGTTTCTGAGCAGTTTCTTATTTCTCTACATATTTCTAAAATTCTTGCAATCCTACATATTCCTACCAGAGGAAATATCCCCAATTGATCCAGAAACCTTTGATGGCACACTATTATTCTTAGAATGAAGTGCAAGCTAAGCCTAATGGACTCTGTTTTTGCTGTCCCAGTATGATCACCCGCTACTGCTTGTTCACACCAATCCAACCAATAGGACTCCTCCTGATTATGCTCACAGCTTTTTGAATTCTACCTCCACACACTTTACAGGCACTTCTCCATAGGTATAACTCCTCACTTCGTCTCTGTGTATCTAATGCTTACTTTGTTCTCTAAGTTTCAGCTCAAGTCCATCTCCTCAGAGTCCACAGGGTTCCCTACCTCTTCAGAGTGCCCGTAGCATTTCCTCATTTTTCCTATTCTGTTGATGCACACCAGTTACCCCCTAGCACAAACATACTGCATTCCTCAGAATGTATGTGACTGTCGAATGTGGAGGTCGATACACTTACATGTTGTAAAGGGTGAGGAGGTTCATTCCAAGAGAGCTAAGCAATTCAAAATATTCAACTACATCTCATACTTTAGACACATATTTTGGTGATACATGTTCAGCATTTTGTAAGTATTTTGTATACATTAAAAAAATTTTTTTCCCCTCCACAGCTTAATAGACTAGTGATTCTGATGAGGCTATAGATACATCACTTTTGTGATTCCACTTTTTGGAAAATACGGTTTCCATTTTTGTTCTATTATATTACATTTATAAAAATTACATTCATCCTGGGAATCTTATTCTCACTCATTTTTATAAAATAGGATGGGCAAGACGAGGCAAAATAGTCAAACACCTGTTTAGTGGGGATAATGCTGGAATGAAACTTGCCTGGCAGCAGCATCACTCATCTATTCACTCGAAAATATATTTATGGAGAACAGAGTCAGACATTGTTCTAGGCTGAGGCACCTAGGGCTTTCAAAAGTCAGTTTGTGGTATTAATATGTAATAGAGGAAAGTGGGGATTCTATGAAAATACTGAATTTGAGGTCTACCTTCTACCTTGTATTGCTAACTTTCCTAATTAACAATCCATGTGAATATATTATCCTCCTAATGAAATTATAAACTTCTTGTGAACAGATCTTGTCCTACTTTGTGGTATATTGAAACAT